GTACTCGAACCGTCCTGACCGCGTAGCTCAGTTGGAAGAGCATTGGGCTAGTATTCCAAAGGTCGTAGGTTCGAATCCCACCGTGGCCGGGCATATTTCAAGCTCGCCCGGTGTGGATATGCACTCAGAGTAACATCGCAAACATAATATTCTACACCTGCTATAAAATTTCCTTAATGTCGAGTATCAGTATATATGTATTTATGCGCCCAAGCCCGCACTGCCGCACATTGTATCCTTCACGGCCAACTAGTTTCAGATAGACGTGAAATTTTGCCTGTCTTGATTGTGAATCGACCAAGCGCGCAATCTCGGCGTTTAATAATAAGATGTTGTTTATGGTGTCATTACAATTACTGCAATATATTATAAAAAATATTGATCAGGTGATATGGCGATATCATAATCCACTGCGATAAATTTTGGACGGAAATTGGATAGTGTCTAAAAAATAGTGATGTATGCCGATCACAAGTTCGAAGGCAAAGCACAGGTTTAAATACAATTTTAAAAGAAATGTCGAAGCGACGACGTGGTTCGGACATGTTTTTGCGAGAAGCATTTCTTGCCCGGTTGGCATCAAAGGGCAAGGCGAGGGAAAATATCAACACGATCGCAAATTTTGTTAGTGCCAAAAATCTGCGTTTGTCTCCTTTAACTAATTACGTCATAGTCGTTTCTGGCTTTTGTTGGCTGCCGCCTAGCCATCCTGTTGGCTGTTGACTTTTTTATAGTTCGAAGGCAAAGTGTTTTTATCATTTGTCTTTTCAATGAAATCTTCATCATACATTACTTAGGGCCTGTTAACAAATATATTGTCACAGAGCAATGTATCATATAGAACTAGCACCATGCAATTCAAGCCTTACTATATAGAATTAATTAACAGAACATCGAATTTTACAGAGGACCGCCTGGACGCATAAATTGGCATTTTATATTCCAGATATAAGGTTTATATTATGAATCATACCGGTTCAGTAATAATGCAACCGTATTTAACATTGCAAATACAATGTCATATAATATGAAGAATTTCGGTAGCGATATCTTATATAACGCAGCAAATCTCAATTAATGCAATAACATGTGGACGTATTGTTTGAGGGTTAAAATATTTCATTGAAAAAGCGTAAACATTTACAGGGTTAGCTTTGAAAGGGTATTATAACCCCTATCACGGCTGTCGCGAATGATTATACGTCGACTAATCACTTCGTCGCAAGTGATCAACGCTCGAGTCCCAATTTTTAGTAGATGATGCTAACCCTTAATTAGATAAACATTGTGGCGTTTATAAATGTGCCGAAAAGATTTTTCTAAAAGTTCCAAACAAGCCCACATTGTTAATTATGCATTCTTGACATTGAAATGTTACGAGATACATACTGTACAAGGTGATCGGGAAATCTAATAAAATATTTCATCTTAAAATAAAAATTGGCAACAGATTTATAACTGTTTTCTCCAATCTTTGAGTGTATTGATGTCCGTCGGTCTCGATCCGTTCGGACAGATAGCGATTTCTTTGGAGAAGGAGAAAACATCTCTAAATGTTTAGAGCAGGACGTCAATTGCGATGCTAGTCACTGTACTTTCGCCGAAGACGAAATGAGAGACAAATGACAGTTCATGGTGATCAAATGCAAAACTAATTATAATAATAATAATAATAGTCTTTATTAAAATACTCAGATACATCCGTCTGAGTTTACAATCGAAAGGTAATTGATCTAGTTATATTTACAGTTGTAAGTTAAGAAGCGTAAAAAGTTTTAAAAAGTTTTTAATACATTACAGTCTAAACAAAGTTATACAGACAACGATTTATGAATGACCTTTTGAATCTTTCTGTTCTCACTAGGGGGAGTTCATACTCATGCCCTCTAGGCCTAAGTAACCTACTTCTTTTTTCCGGCAGCAGTTCAAGCAATGCATTGTCCTCAGTTGATGTTATTTTGTTACACAGTTTCTTATCTCTCTTATCACGTATTTCTTTAATGTGTGTTCGTTTTGATATATAACCATTCTTATGTGCACGTTTAATGAATTTATCTATTTGGTTCAAATATTTACCGTCGTATGCACAACCCCACAGCTCAATAGCAAAAGTGAATATCGACATAATTAGGCTATCAAACAGCAGATCTAATTGTTTAATTGATAGTCCATAGTATTTGCAAACTCTCATAATGTACATTCGTCCACTTGCTTTTTTGAGCATTTCTTCAAAGTGCAAATCCCAGCTGCACGGGTTATCTTGTAGAGTAACTCCTAAAAGCTTTAGCCATGTTTTTCGCTTAATTGAAGGGATAAGCTCGGGCAAAACTACAGAGGTGTGTCTGCGAACAACCATTTCGTACGTTTTTTCCAAGTTTAAAGGCATTCTATTCTCTTCCGCCCAATCCTGTAAACAGGCAGCTTCAGATCGAGATGTGTCACCACTTTCGTTGCCAGGCACTCCTAACGTCAAATCGTCAGCAAATTTGACTAACGCATTACTAGGATCAGCAGTTTTAATATCATCAACCATTATTGAGAAAAGAACTGGGCCTAAAACAGTACCTTGAGGGACACCACGATTAATATATAAATATTCTGTAACCATTCCATCAACCATTACTCTTTGTATTCTATTTTCTAGAAAGCTAATTAACCAGTTCACCACATACGGATTAATGGGTAGCTTTTTAACTTTTTCAAACAAAAGATCGTGGGGCACACTGTCAAATGCTTTGCTGAAATCGAACGACAGCACTCTAACACAATTAGCGTTTTTATCCAGCCACTCTAGCCATTGATGTTGGGATTTAATCAGAGCCACAGTCGAGTTGTGACCCTTTTTATAAGCAAATTGGTCAGGACCAATGTTATTTCTTGTGATAGGTTCGATTTCAGATTTATACACGCACTTCTCGAATAGTCTCATGATGATGTCCGTCAGAGAGATTGGTCTTAACTGGTTGCACGAATTTAATTGTGATTCTTTAGGGAGTGGTAATAAATTAGCGGATTTCCATTTCTGAGGTACTTTGCTGGTTTTTAGTGACATGTTAAAAATTTCTGTGACAATAGGAGCTAATTCAATAGCAAACGATTTCCAAAACCAATATGGCAGATTGTCCGGACCCGATGAAGAGCGTTTTTGATTGAGTAAAAGATGTTGAACTTCATGAATTGACAACGAAGGAATTCTTGTTCCTTCGGAGATTTGAAGAGGCTCTGGAGTCGTATAATTTGGGTCTGTATTCAAACTTTGAAAATATTTGTTAATTTCACTAGGGTTAAGAGAAGCACTTACAGATACATCATGTTTCTTTTTTCTCGATGTAATGCTATTTACGTTAGACCACCAACTTTTCGATCCAGTTTTCTGGTTGCCAAACTCCTGTTTCACTGCATTTAATCGATTTTCCCGAATTAACTTGTTGATTTTTTCTTGCAATCGTGTATTTGCTTCAGTATTTCCGTTTTGTATGGCTCTTTTCCTTTGATTCAGAAGGTGGTTCACAAGAGGAGACATGAACGGAGGGTCGCGTGATGACGTTCTGACCTTAATTAGTGGAAAGCTCTTATCGAATTTTGGCCATATTATTTCATAAAATTTTAGGATTATCTCATCTAGGTTATGGCTATTCATATAATTATCGTGTTCCAATCAATAGATTCAAGTTCACGAAGCATATTCAATTGATGATGTTGTCTGACATCTCTGAAATAGGAATTTGTCCTTATTGCTTTAACTATGTTTCGGGGGTATGTGATAACCATATCATGGTCGGATCTCACCAAGCTTTTTACAACTTTAACAGATTTCCAATAGTTCGGGACATTTGTAATAAAGACATCTAATATTTTTAACCCTCTCGTAGGGGTCTTAACGAGTTGGGTAAATGGAAGTTGATTAAGAACAGATCGAATATTTAAATTGTTAATGTCACCAGCAATTATTATATTTGAATTCGGTTTAGATAACAATAGTTGTTCGCACGAGTCAATAAGAAAGTCTTGCTCATTATACTCATAGTCAGGTGGGTGGTAAATAGTTGCAACAAAGAATTCAAAGTTTTGTGTAATAATTTTTGTCCATAAACATTCGAATGGATTATCCAAATCAGGTAGTAGCTGCATTCTCCAATCATTCCTGCATAAGATCGCGACACCTCCTCCTCCACAGTTTGTTCTACCTTTCTAATGAAGGAAAAATTGGGAGGACAAACGAGGGAGCTAGGTATAGTCTGTTTGAGCCATGTTTCGGTTATACAACAAACATCTATGTTATTGCACTTAATGTCTGCGCACAAAGCAGGAAAAGCATCAGGTTTTGCAATAGATCTGGCGTTCAACACTGAGCAACATGGAATTAAGCGTGGTTGACTCGGGGCAGTTTTATTTACTTGTATAGGTCTCAAAGTGCTGCAATGCCTAAGAGATTTTATATGACTGTGCTGTCTTGTGCGTGGAGTAATTCTGACGGGTATCTTATTTAGTTCGGTATCGGGTATCTTATGGGTAACATTGTTAAGGAAGGGACAAACAAACTTGGATGAATCGTAATCACCTGTCAACGCCTGGGCGGTCTGGTGTAATTCATCATCAGGGGTGAAGGGTACTGATTTGAGTAACTCATTGGGGGCTGTATGGCTCGAGGATAGGGATTTGGATATTGTGACCATATAGGGGTTGGAATTTCCATTAAAGGATTCAATGCGAGTAAATTTCTCCAAGGTTCTCGGTAATAATAATTCTGGTACGGCGGAAATGGGTTGGTGAATCGGGGGGATAAAAAATCAGGAGAAGCATAATTGCCTGGATCCCTAGGGCATGGGGGATGAGTTACGTATCAATTTGTCGTGGTAAAAGTCACACATCTCTTTCTTCAGACAGTACCCTCTTTTATGCAGAAAAGGACATGGTATATTGCATTTCCGTGTTTCAGATGGTTTTGGGTGTTTAAAGTCGCATCGGTCGCCTTTAAAACATCTACCACGGCGTATGAGAAAAGGGCACGGGACAGAGGTTTTTAGAGACGGATTGTATTTGGGTTTTTCCCTTTCGCTGTTAATTGACTGCTGCGATTCCGATTGCAAGTTCGAATTTAAGCCTTTGTGTGTATTGTTTTTATTCTGCTGTTTTGGGAAAAACACGGCATCATTTGTAAGGTCAATGTGATTATTCTTCAAATCGTCGGCATTGCATTGGCTGTTGTCATTATGCCGAATAAGGCTATTGTCATGAGAGGTTTTTAGAGATGGATCGTATTTAATACGGCTATTGTCATGAGAGGTTTTGGGGACAGATCATATCTAGGTTTATTCCCTTCTATGTTGGTTGTCTGCTGCGATTCGGATTGCAAGTTCGAATTTATGCCTTTGTGTGTATTATTTTCATTCTGCTGTTTTGGGGAAAACACAGCATCATCATTTGCAAGGTCAATTTGATTATTATTCAAATCATCGGCATTGCATTGTCCGTTGTTATTATGCCGAGCAAGACTATTGTCATGAGAGGTATTAAGTAATTCAGTGTTAATTGAGCTGAGGTTACTTTTGTTAGATTGTTCACTGGCATGAAAAGCGGCCGCTTTGTCAATACTTTTAGCTTTGTAAACTGATGAGCCAGGTTCTTTGTCTTTGGCAGCGTTTACACTGTACCGTTTTCGTAGCGTTCTCGTATTGTTCGAGAGAACTAGACTATTGTCTTGCGTTCCCTTGAGGATTAAGAACAATACGAGAACGCTACGAAAACGGTACAGTGTAAACGCTGCCTTTATCGACATTATAAGTTCTCTTGAGAAACGACTTTTCAAGAGCCAACAGCCTTGCTTTAAGGAATTGATTCTATATCACGACGCAATTTTAAAAAGCCCGCCACACATGCAACGTCGACCACGCGTGTTGCGTGTAGCACTACTGATCTCGCGAGTGGACAAAATTTCCGCGACACAGACCTAGAACTGTAAAGAGCCACCTTAACTAAAAGCTTAAATAACACTCGGCTATCGCATTGTATATTTGTATGTTAGACAATTTTCTCGTGTCTAATTATTTCCATGCCCTTAAAATATTGATAATATAACAAAATAAACTATCCCATCTTTCAATTTTTCGAGTAAACTGATATTTTTTTTATTAAAAAACTAAATTATACAAAACTAAAAAAGCTGCACACTGACTGCCGTCCCAACCAATTTATCTGCTACCAAAACCTTTAAAATAAACGGATTATGTTTATCTGTGTAAACAACCAAATACTAACTCTGTACTCCAACTCTGTAAACAAAAATAAGTTGAAGAAACTTTTCTAAACGATCTAAAGTTCTAAACCTCGCCAACATAATTTTCATATTTGAACATTTGATTTTCCTTTGTGCTGGTGTGTCGCCCTCATAGAAAATGTAATTTGATTAGCTGATAAAAAACGGTGGTGCTCACCAATCAGTGAAATGCATTTTAATCACGCGCGTAGTTAAATTTTGATGTATTACGCTGATTGGTCAATTTTCTAAGTAATTATTCAAATGAACTTTAGTGGTTCCTTGGCGTTCCAAGATTTTGCGGGCTTCTCGTTTTGGGAAAAGCGCTGGAAGGCCAAGCAAAATTCTCTGATGTCCAATATTGCATCAGGAATGAAGGTCATCGTCAACTTCTGTTTATAATTACTTATTCTAACTATACGATTGTTTTTCAGCCGTTTACATTTTCGACTACTGAGAGCCCTATTTTTCTAAGTTAGACTGCTGTTTTTTATATCTAGCGTTGCGAATATCTATAGTGGACCTCTCAATACCTCTTACTTAAATACGGAGTATTATTATATGTGTATTCCTAGGTTCCTTGATTCCCGGATTCGGCAATTCCCAGAATCCACGATTCCTGGTTTTAAAGTTAGCCTGTCGAATGATGACAAATATGCATATTGTCGGTCGGTATTAATATGACGCCATATAAGACTGTTTAATATTTAAGAGACTATTTTTTTCAATGTCATGTATTTGCGATGAAAAGTGTTCAAAACCTAAAATCTTTTTGGCGTTCCTCTCAAAATTACTTTGTTTTAGCTTTATTCTCTAGTTTATAGAGTTAACAACCTTTTTAAATGTATCTGCCGGTTGAGAAACGTAAAATAATATTAAAATACAATTATCAATGATGCTTTAAAATTGACGCCATATTTACAGCCATATAAGCAAAACTTACTGAACTTCAGACATCATTTTCTCTTTGGCGTATCATCTAAAATCTCTTCATTTTAGCATTATTCTACAGATAAAGCACCAAACATACTTTTTAAGTTTGTTTGCCGATTGAGAAACGTATCGAAAAATAAAAATTTTTATTTAGTCATTAACCTCAAGTGGCATATTATACACATTAGTTTTGAGCGCTTGTTACGTATAACATACAAAAAAATCTCCTCTTAACAACTTGAAAAACTGGCCATGGCATGTAAAAGAATACACTCGTGCACTTTGCAGGTGTTACTCCTATATAGGAAACAGTAGATATAGTACTAAACCATAGAAATGGTGAAATTTATAATGATATATTAATAAAACTACCAACATTTGACAGTAAATTTACGTTAAATTTAATATACTGTATTTCTATATAATAATCAAATCAAATCAAATGCTATCTTCAGATACAAGCTGCGTAACAAAACAGTAATTTTGATTACATGTGACAGAAATACTCAAAATATCTGCTAAATCAATTGACGCATTTTTAAAGATAGAAAGATTTAATTTAAAGTTTCTTTGAACCGACTTGTCCATTAGATCACGAGCTTTTTTGGATTTTCCCAGGTGAAGTCCTCTCCTGGTTTGAAATGTCCATAGATACAGGTCTTTTCAAAAATTGGACGTTTCAGCTTCAAATCTCTGTGAACACAAAACACATTTGGTGTTAATTAAACCGGTTAATTAAACGGATATGCTCTATTCTATCTAATTTTCTTTCTAGATGTCCAGCAAGAAACATATCTTATTAGTCCAGTGTAACCACAGGAGGAAATTATACCTGAAATAAGTCTATTTAACCTGAATAACTCTGCCAGTTCTAAATTGTTCTCCCCATGCAGAGGTATACAGTACAGGATCAAACAAGAGAAAAAACTAATCATTGTTCTTTACCTAACCACAATACCAGGCCTAAAATCGAAATTCTTTTTCACAATTCCTAATAATTCCTCATCAGTTTTCTTTCCACTACCATACGAGAACACAGTGATTGACAGAGGCTCTGCAACACCAATGGCGTACGAAACTTGAATAAGACAACGTTTGCAAAGTTTTGCTGCTACAAGAGACTTCGCCGCCCATCTTGCAGCATAGGCTCCTGAGCGGTCCACCTGAAACACACAGCGTTATGCATGTAATATTTACGTCATACTGTTATCTCTCACAAAATATACTCACACTGGCTATCAAAATTCGACTTTATATAGGACATTACTAAACCACGAAACAGCGAAACGAAACAGCGAAACAACGAAACAGCGAAACGAAACAACGAAACTGCGAAACGAAACAACGAAACAGCGAAACAACACTTTTTTTTAGTAAAAGGAATAAACTATATTTAAGTCAAACTAGAACGAAGTTAGACGAGATGAAATTAAATCCTTAATTATTAAGTTACAACCGTACAACGCCATTACGGCGTCAGCACATAATTGTCTCAGTAGGTAAAAGTAAAATAAGCATCAAAACTATGACACGTTTACCCAAATTGAAGAATGTTTTCATGTACGGTATGTTTTATTACAATTAAGTATTAGTGAAATCTTTACAAATCTATAGGCATAGGAGGCCCAATAGTTAATATTGTAATAGGCACCAAAAAGACTAAAATACTTAAAAATCCGATACAATTTCATAATGAGAATATTTGAATAAAGTAACAACATAGGCATAGATGAATATTTGAATAAAATAACTCCATATAGTTCAATATTTACAATCTAAATTACCTAATCCTCAAATTAATTTTGTCATAAAACCTATTATAGTTTGAACTCGTGTAATAATAATTTTATTTGCATAATAATTTTCAAGGCATGTAATAGCCGTTTTGACTTGGTCTTGGAGTCGTTTTGACTTGGAGTCGTTTTGACTTGGAGCCGTTTTGACCGAGCACCCCGGCCACTAGCCTGCGAACAGGCTCTCAAGCTGAATTGAGAGCCTGCATCGATGACTAATGAATTTGAATATCTGCCCCGTAACGTTCGTTTTTCCAAATATGGAATGTATATCCTTATATGGTGTTGTTTACAACTTTCGTGCAAACTAAATTTAGACCGTGCAAACTAAATTTAGACGTACAGTTTATACTGTTTTTCGAAATACAAGATATTGAAGCAAAAGTTCAAATGTTTTAAATACTGTTTTCTCAAAACAGAACATTTCGTGCTTTGAGATAAGATGGTCAAGACCAATTTGATCAGTTAATGTGTTTTTTATGCATAGTGCTTCAACAGTTGACATATATAGAGCTCAGCGGAAACATATAAATTATAGCATCTGACCAATGAGAATTTCGCGTCACGATTTGAGACGCAGATATTCAAATTCATTAGTCATCGATGCAGGCTCTCAATTCAGCTTGAGAGCCTGTTCGCAGGCTACCCGGCCACACACATGCTCGTTTCACAGCCAAAATTTAATGTCAAAACAACATGAAAACTTCAAAGAAATTATAACCGAGGAAACTTTGATAATATTCGAAAAGCAGAAGAATTTCTATCCTTCCCAATATTCGATAATAAAGATTAATACGTGAGACTATTAGTATTAAATTAAATTGTTACTTTTATGAATTCTGTGCTGATGGCGTTGTAACTTTAAGGATTTAATCTCGTCTAACTTCCTTGTAGTTTGACTTAAATGTAGTTTATTTCTTTTACTAAAAATAATATAAAACGTGTTGTTTCGCTGTTTCGTTGTTTCGCTGTTTCGTTTCGCTGTTTCGTGGTTTAGTAATGTCCCTTTATATAGGTAGACATGCAGATTGAAAAGTTTGGAGAATGCATGGGCAAAATTGAATTTTGGCCACCATTTTGTGCAAGTTGGCATAAATTACTGCTTTTATGAGTTTTAAAAAGGTGGACATGTCTTGAAAGTGCACGGCTGTGGCTTAAAATGACCAATATGGATTTTATTGAAGGGACAGACATTTGTAGCATCTTATGATTCATGCAATATGGTTGGTTAATCATTTATTAATCGACTGTTGATATAACAGTCAATACAATACCTTAGACGAGTCTTTCCCAGAGAAAGCGCCTCCTCCATGTGCTCCCCACCCACCGTATGAATCCACAATGATCTTACGCCCAGTGAGACCAGCATCACCTTGCGGACCTCCGACCACAAATCTTCCTGATGGTTGGATATGGTAGATTGTCTTCTTATCCAGGTACTTGGCTGGAATCACTTCCTGTATTGAAATCACATCAAAAAACAATTTTTACTTAAGGTTCTATAGGTGGGTACAACAGATGGTGGTTAATTTAGAGTAATAGTACCATACGGCTAAGATGTTTTATTTTTGTATTTGAAAGTCAAATGAATAAAATTACAAGATTTAGTTTAATTTTCTTGCTTCTATATATGTGTCAACATTTCTGAATTTGGCCACCTGTCGATCTTCTGCCCAGTGTAATGCTTACTGAAACCTGCCAATATACAATATTTACATTCTGGCACAAATTACACATAAAATTGTATTGAACTAAATCTGTAAATAAATTAAATATGAATTGGAATGTGATTGTACTTGTACATGAAATCAACGAGTTAAGGTGCTTACACTTCTATGCAAATGACTAAATCATATGACGAACCTTAACTATTTTCTCCATGATTACTTTCCTTAATTCTTCTGTTGTAACCTCTTCAGCATGTTGTGCCGAAACAACAACAGTATGAACTCGCTGTGGTACGAGTACACCTTCTTCTTGCTTATACTCTACAGTCACTTGGGTCTTCGTGTCAGGTCTCAGCCATGGGATTGATCCATCACGACGACTATCAGCCATCTTTTCATTCAGCTTGTGTGACAGAATGACGGTGAGGGGCATTAACTCATCTGTCTCATCGGTTGCATAACCGAACATCAGACCTTGATCACCTGCTCCAATTTCCTCATCCTTCCGTCCTTTGTGAACTCCTGCAGCAATATCGAGACTTTGTTGCTCAACCGCAACTAACACATTGCATGTTTTGTAGTCAAATCCTAAAAATCAATTCGTAGATTATAATCGCTGGCCACATAACGTAAATGCTAGATGTTTTCACTTATTAATTAAAGAAAGACACTTGTGCAATATTGATTACTCCATAAGCTACAAGAACCCTTTGTTGCTCTTTTAATCTGCCCAACACCAGACAAGTTAACTTATAAAGGGGAAAGTGTTGGGCGTTAATGGTTAACCAGACTATTTTGCTAATATCTCTGTACATATTTAAACGGTCACAATAATGTCTCTTTATGTGAACGCATTATCCAGGCTTACCTTCTGCCCGTGTTTCTTGTTAATCATTAAGGTGCAATGTGCCCTAGTGCACAGTTTATTTTGATTTTACTCTGTCTAACCCCAGCCAATTTCACTTGTCAAGGGGAAATGCTAGTCATTGATGGGGGAGGGGGGCTTTTTGTTGTCAAAACCCAATAAGTTGCAATGTACCCTAAACATCCTACATTGTAATTTTACTCTGCCTATCCACAGCTCATTTGGTACAGTGTTGGGTTAATCCACGATACCTTTATTGCTATCGTCATAACCAATACGCTGGATGGTACCACGAACAACTTTCTGGTAGTCCACTACGGCTTTGGACGTGATTTCACCAAACACCATAATCATGCCAGTTTTTGACGCAGATTCTAGTTAAAAATTCACAGATATATGAGAATCATCAATCGGCAAGTAAAGTTTATGGGCTCATGGGCAGTTTAGCTCTCTTAAAAGTGCCTTGAAAAGCGTGTGTAGGTTGTTCTATGTAGGAGTATTCTATACAGTAACCTGTCGTGGTTTATATCTGGACTACCCGATAAAGACATCTCCAATGTAGAACCCTAGTGTAAGTAGTATCCTACAGCAAGCTACAGTGATTTGTGTCTGAACTACCCGAAATATTTCAAGGGAACTTCAGGTTTAAAGCGAAGGCAATTTGTCTGGAGGTTCAATATGCCTGACAGTATGGGATTTTATTTTGAAAGGAATAACACGCTTGAATTGCTGTAAGGTATTTTATAAAAAATATGTGCAGTTACTAGTACTGGCAGGGAAATTTAATGAAATATAATTCAGTAAAAAACGCATGAATATTGCACCCATAAAATAGATAATTGCATGTAGAAGATTAAATCTGAAACTTTAATGTATCTTCAAAATTTCAAGTTTCTAGGTTTCCACCCAGTGGCGGCGGAACAGTTGTTAATTTTTTGTTGTTAATTTTTTGGGAGGGCTAATTTCCATTCATTTGCCAAACGTTCATTTAAGAAACATATTGGGCACAAAATGTAGTTTTATCGCTATGCATATGAACATATCCCACAATCCGCGTTTCATTCTCATATCCGCTCAGTGTTTTAGTACCATCCGTCAATCCGTTCTGCTCCATATCCGCATCCGCTTTTTATCCCAACCGAGTGTTGATCAGCAGCCTCCCCTACTTTTGGTTTTAGATGTTACTTTCGATATTCTACAGTATAATAAAATCATACCGCAAGCGACTTTGGCGTTTGGATCTTGAGCTAAATGTGCATCTAGGACAGCATCTGAAACTTGGTCACAAATCTTATCTAAAAATTGGACAGAAAAGTACATTAGGTCGACCTATACTAGCTAAACAACATTTACCATTTGAACATTTCGAACAAATTATATTATATAATAATTTAAGAGCTAACTAAGAGTAAGAGTAAGAGCATTTGCATTGACTCGAACGTCTTGAATATTGTATATATAGTTGAAAGTTACATATTTTCTAGCTTCGATCGACGAAAAACCACTAACATGCTCAAAATTTAAATGACTTAAATAGTACCTGAGCATAAACTTACCGGGATGTCCTTCTCCCACAGATTCGGAGGTGAAAAGAAATGTCGTATTATTTGAAGCGGCGTTCATTTTCGTGAACAAAGTTTCTTGCAAAGGTATCGTTCAGACGCAGCTCCTATAAGACCTAACCACTCCCTCGTCTCTGCACAAATGCGACTGAAAGACGGCTACGAGAACAATTAAACTTTGATCACAGGTCACGTGATTTAGACTCAAGCAGATTTTCTCAATCCTGATTGGCCAATACTAATCATATACGCATCCGATCGTGATCATATGATTTGTATCAATATTGAAATTACACGCTTCCAAGAAGCCTATTAATGAAAACTCGCAGGGGTGTTTGTGTTTAAAAGAAAATTCTGAAGTCTTTTAAGCAACCGGAATCGAGTGAAATCGGTTAAAATGATATTGAAGGAGAGAATTGAATATACAGTTTACTGACGATTCGCGGAAAGTTTTGATCAATTACTCTAAAATTTATTTTTATGATTCTCTTGAATCTGATTGAGTTTGGGCAAGTGTCGAGTGTCGAAACACAAAAGTATTTGATATCAAAATTTCACAAGTGAAAAATTTCTTGTTTATTCAAACCTATAAATAAAATATAAGGCACTAAACTCTAAAGGGATTTCAAATGTAATAAATAGAAACATATAAACTTGATGGTACTAACTTCCGTCACTACACTGGGTGCAGAGGTTTTCTGGTGTAATGCGAGTTTTATAGGCATGGGCTGAAGTATATATACAGCTAATATTCCGGGTAAAAATTTGTATCGGTGGTACGCTTTGATAAAATGAAATTTTGCCGCACAAATCAGTGTTTGTCTTGTGCTGTGCAAACGCAAATTCGGACAAATTTTTGTACGGATTTTACCATGTCTACACTCTTATATATGCTGTCGCACAGTTTGTAATATGATCTTGTGTATTTATTTGCACACTTTTAGCCAAACATTTCGAGGAAACGTAATTCTAGTTAATCCTTTGAATCGAAAAATACTTCTAATCTTACTTTTGTTTCAAGACTTTTTCTAAGTATTTCCAGTCCTTTGAATCGAAAAATATACTTCTTACTTTTGCTTCAAGACTTTTTCCAAGTATTTCCAGTGCGGAAATGCATGCTTAACGTGGTCTTAATAGTCCTGGAATCCAAGCAGAATCTCTCTTCTATATATTTATCAGTATTATATGATTCTCTTGAATCTCATCGAGATTGGGCAATTGTCGAGTGTCGAGACTTAATATTTACGTCAAAATTTATAAATTTCCTGTTTAATTAATAAATAAAAACATAAATTTGATAAAACTATAAAACACATACGAAAGCGCTCTGCCTCAACTGCTCTAGCTATATGTATAGTTTGAAGATATGTCGACACTCGACAAATATTTGTCAGAAATATAGCCTACCATAGCGGCCGGTGACTTAATGTCCACGCGTGTATCTATTCATGTGCACGTTTATCCAAACATTTCGAGGAAAATAAATTTTTTGAATCGAAAATTAAATTCTTCTTACTTCTGACTATTTCCAAGTATTTTGGAATCGCGGATCTTAATATTCAGATTTCAGGGTATTCAACATTTGAACCGAAAGTCGAAACCACGAGAACGGAATTATAGAAAGTATAGCTGCTTTAACGTGTTAGCATGCAGAATTACCATTCTATATACCAAGTGTATGAAGACAACAAACATTCAATATAGTATAATAAAAACGTGAACAACACGTCTGTCGTCCGAATAATTTGGAAACTCTGACAATATATGGCCGCCATGCCCATGCCCACGGACATGGTCGTTCTATGACTATGTTTTCAGTCTGTTAGATCCGATAGAAATGGTCAGCCAGACGTATATACGAATATGCAAAAACAAGTAAAACTCGCAGAGTCCAACTCAACAACTTACACCTGCCATAATGAGTCCCATTGCTTCTATACGACTATATATACGTTAAAATTCTTTAATGTTTTTTTTCCTAAGGCTAGACTAAGTCGCACAGCACAGAGAAAATTCTGATGTCTTTAATCAATCATAATCGAGTAAAATTTGTTAAAATGATAGTAGAGGGAAGAATTGTACAGTTCATAGAATATTCGCAGAATCATCTCTTGCATTCTCTTGCATGGATTATTATGAATCTTGAATCTGATCGAGAGTGTCGAGACTCAAACGGACGAGTGCCGAATGTCGCCGAATATACCAAATTTGCTATTGATACATTTCTAACATTCTAGGCCTGTTTAGTAGTCTACGTCGCACTATCGAATTTAATTCAGTCGAAATTTAATCGAACGAATTAAATGCAACGGTAGCTATATAGTGAATCGTATATAAAACGAATTAATGTCTGATGAATTAAATTCGTCCAAGACGTTTTATCCGTCAGACGGATCACAACGTCTCATGCAACGCGTCTTCGTTTCCGTCATACGACGTCTTATCGAGTCGTGTCGAATTAAATGCATACTGATTATGTTGAAGTTTGTTTCTCTCTTTTTGAATTTTGGTCAGTCTCGTGGTTTTTATTTCTGAGTATTTTAAATCCATGCATGATCGCTAGTCATGAAACGGAAATGAATTCGTCTGAATTAAATTCATTGTTTGAAACGAAACCATTTTAATAAAAATTTCCTATTTATTCAAACTTAGTTTTAGATAAAATATAAAGCATCGTGTCTACGACTATATGACTATTTAATAAATAAAACGTCAACATAAATTTGATGATATTATATAGCATGCACCCCTTGCATTTTGACAAATATTTGTACGGAAGACTGACGCGGTATCCAGACAAGTTTTTGACCTCCTATTTATCTCATACGTGCACGTTTTTGTCCACATACGATAGCGGCTCTGCCTCTAGTTAGAAATTTTGTCGGACAAATATTTCTACGGATATACAAGCAGTTTATAATGTGATCTTTTTTTGCGCACGTTTAGCCAAACATTTCGAGGAAAATAAATCCTTTGTCTTTGAATAAAAAAATTCTTCTTTATACTTTTATTATATTTTAAGACTTTTTCCAAGTATTTCTGCTGTGAAATGCGAATCCAGTATTATTAACCGAAATCACGAGAACGGAATTAAATATATATATAGGCCTAGCTAAGCCTATAAGGCTGCTTTAAGTCAGATGTTAGCAGAATTACCGTAAAATATAGACGACGTATATGAAGACCACAAACATTCAATATACGGTATAAAACGTGAATAACAACGTCCGTCCGAATCATTCGGAATGATTTTGAAACTCTGAGGAAGGCAAACGTCGACTCTGATTAATAATAATATATTCATGGACATGGTTGTCCGCGGTGCTCCGTATATATGTCATTTCTCCCTCAAGTTTTTTATTTCTCTTAGAGCGAATTATCTCCTTTATAAATAGTTTTGTTCATTTGGTATTACTTTAACCTTTAAATGTATAGTTATGCCGAAGTTCAAGTTTTTTTATGCATCGTGATATGATTCATGTCAATTGATCGCATATCAAAATATGGCCGCCATATTTTCACAGTCGTTTATGTAATTATGTTTTCAGTACTCAGTAGTGTTAGATCAATAGAAAATGAAAGTGTAGTAAAAGAAAATTCTGATGTCTTTAATCAATCAGAATTGGATAAATTGGTTAAAATAATAGTAGAGGCAAGATTGTACATTTGACAGATGAATTTATTGATGTTCTCGGTCTCTTGAATCTGATCGAGAGTGTCGGGACTCAAGACGAGCATGCATGTCGAATGTCGAATAAATCAAATTTGTTATTGTCTATTGATACAGCGATCTATAATTCTAAACTTTATGTATTTGATGTCAAAATTTCAAAAGTTATATAAATTTCCTGTCGTTTATTTAAACTTTGTCTTAGACAAAATATAACTAGCATTAGGCTATATCAGTCTATATGGACTATGTCTATGACCATGACTATTTAATAAACGTTAACATAAATTTGATGATACTGACATACTGTCTATGATCTAGTATACCCCTTACATTTTGACAAATATTTGTACGGATATACTGACCGGCTTATCGAAACGTCAAGTTTTTGACCTCCTATATATATCAAGTTTTTGTCCGGCACATATACGAAAGCGCTTTGTCTTTGAATCGGAAAATCCTTCTCACTTAAATCCTTCTTTACTGAAAAATCCTTCTTACGAAAAATCCTTGTTGACAAATATTTCTACGAATATACAAGCAGTTTTAATGTAATGTGATCTTAGCTGCATGCCTATGTATTTATTTGCGCACGTCTAACCGAAACATTTCGAGGAAAACAAATCCTTTGAATCGAAAAATCCTTCTTATTTTTGTTTCAAAATTTTTTTCCAAGTATTTCTGCTCTGCTGTGGAATGTGGAATCTTATATTCCTGGAATTCAACTTTAACTGAAACCGAGAATGGAATTATAGAAGTTGTGGCTTTAAATGTTAGCAGAGTTTGTCAAACACTGGTTAAGCATAGACGTATGTAGTATATGGATAAAGACCCCGAACATTCAGTCTGTAGTAAATTTAACCGGTGAACAACAACGTTCGTCATCTGAATGATTTTGAACTTCTGAGAAGGAACGTCGAATCTAATTATTTCATGATTGTCGGTTGGTCTGAAGCAAACCGCAAGGAACAATCCTGTAACTCCGTAAGTCATTTCCCTCAAGCTTTTGTTTTTATAGAGCGAAGTATTTCGCTTATAAATAGTTACCTTTAACCTGTAAATTTAAGTTATATATGCGTATTATTAAGCGTTTAATGCCGAAGTTTATTATTTTTAATTTATTTAAGTATTTCTGCTGTGGAAGTGCATGCTTAACGTGGAATCTTAAAATTCCTGGAATCCAATTTTAACCGAAATCGAGAACGGAATTATAGGAAGTAGCTATAGAAGAAATATTAGGCCAAACACCCAGCTGATATACCAATTTCGAAACAAATCACATGACCGGATGTGTATGATTACTATTAGCAAATCAGCGTTGAGAAAACCTACTCGAGTCACATGAGCCGTGATCAAATTAAACCTCGATTCTCGTATTTCAGGCGCATTTGTGTTGAGAAGAGGGAGTGGTTAGGTCTTATAGCAGCTACTTCTTAACGATTTGTTTGCAAGAAGTCAAAAAATGAACGCCGATTCGAATAATACGACATTTCTTTCCACTTCCGAATCCGTGGAAGAAGGACATCCCGGTAAGTTTCTGCCTAGGCACTATTTAAATAATCTAAATTTTGAGTATTTCTCTCTATACAGAACAGAAATGTTAGTGGTTTTCCGTAGAGGGAAGTGTGGAAACTTAAACAAAATACAATATTCAAGCGTTCGAGATCGCGCTGCTCTCAGTTAGCTCTTAATGATATAAATTGTAGATACATAACAATATAATACGGTTCGCTCGAAATTTCTAGTTAGTAAATGTGTTTTTGGCAGACCTAATGTTTCTGTCCAATCTTTTGGATAAGATTTGTGATCAAATTTCAGACGCTGTCCTAGATGTACATCTAACTCAAGATCCGAACGCCAAAGTTGCTAGCAGTATCATTATAGTATACTCTAGAATATCGAAACAAGCGGTCTCCCTCACTTTCGGTTTTAGTACTATATGTTGATCAATACTTAGTAAAACTGAAATGGCGGATGCGGATACAGGCCGGATCGACGGAGCAGATGTGGAAATAAAACGTGGAGCGGATATGGGGATAAAACGCGGATTTGAAGATACAACGCGCTAAAACGTTCTAAAAAGGGTATATTTGCAAGAAACGTCGGATTATTTATCTCAAAATCATTCTCTATTACTGACAAAACTGATTCCTATATAGGATTGCGCTGAATGAAAAATCCTGTTTCTGAATATCGTATGCAGTCACATTTGCCAATTACCATTCTGCAAGTAAACAAAAGAAAATGTGTATGTTTTAAATTCAATAGTTTAACCAGACGTTTTGTAGGTTCAGTTAGTACGTACGTGTTAGCGGTGTTAAAGAAACAAAAAAATTAACAAAAAAAAATTATATAGGCAAAGGCATGATGGTGTTCTAAAATGGCTGCCTTTGCGGATATTTGGTTTGATTTGTTCATTCACAAAATATACAGGATTTGGTTTTGTTTGCTTTAATCGTATAGATAGTGTTTATAGAATCCTTTTTACCTGACCATTTGAAAACGTGTGGTGGACAAACGTACATATGGTTAAGTTAATTCGAAGGAGAAGTAATTTTTTACTGAGATCTTAAATTAATATTATTTATATAAACTTTGGTCTATCGTTTTTTTTTGTAACCATGGTAAACATGCACATAATTGATCAGTTAGGGACAAGTTAACATGCCGTGTAACCCACCGTCTATTATAGCAATCCAATTGTGCAACTGGTTGATGTACCTTGCTAATGTCATGGTAAAGCAAGGCAGAGTCAAAAAAGCTATAAAAATAAGAGAGTTTGAAAATTATATTTTCACTTAGATATGGGATGATTTTTCAAAAATTAATGACCTTGAATTTCTGAAATATGGCAAATGATGCATGTCTTACATATAAACAAAATCTCAAATTAATCCTGCAGGAACGATGTAATTTTAAGGTAACTTACTCTCAATTAAAAATATTTTCTTTCAAGAGTCAGTTTTTTTTTATATGCCGGCAAACTTCAATGTGATGGGGTATTTTATCCCTCCACGTAGGCATACAAGACAGGCGAGAAGGGGGGGGGGCGGCAATTGCCTACCCCCCATTTTTATTTATTTGCTGATTCGCCCAAGATATTGAAATTGCACATAAAAGAGATGGACTAGAAGCCTACTAGAAACCATATGGCTTTTGTTTTAAACCCCTAGGTTATAAATTTAAACTAATTAGCAAAATAATATGCAGCATCAGTTCGAGTGCTTTTAGTTTTAGGAGAAAGGAAAAAGAATAGTTAATATTATATGATATGATAGTAAGCTATATTTACAATTCAATTTTTGATTTATAGTTTTCCTATACTTACAGGAATATGTTATTCTATTAAATTTAGATCTGAGATGTACTTTTTCATTATTGTCTTGAAGGAGTCGTAAGACTTAGCGGGTTCTTTATATTGAGTGGGAAGATTATTCCACACTTCTATATCTTTATCAGAGAGAGTGTGTTTTGTGTGATTCGTTCTGTTGATCTTTTTGTGTAGCAATGACGAATTTCTTGTGTTATGATTATGAATTTCCTTATTGGTTAAAAAATTGTGAATAATTCTGGTAAATGTTTCAGATGGAAATATCGGAACATAAACATACTTGTTAAATAATAATAATTTATTTTGTATAAACTGAGAAATTTTGAATACGAGATTGGTAGGTGTTACCCCAGATTTAATTCCCATAAGCTAAATATGGATAGACAAATGCATAATATATTAACTTTAAGGGGTTTAAGTTTGTAAAATGTCGAATCGTGGAAATAATTGCTGTACATTTGATAATTTTTGTGTTTAAGTGATCACAACATGTTAAGCATTCATCAATAACGATTCCTAAAAATGTTGTGTTTTTGACTTGTTTTATCGATTCATTGTGGATTGAAATTTTTATATCATCTATAAGTTTCTTATTTTTTGATCTAAAAAGAATAAATTTCGTTTTCTCTGTGTTAATAGCAGCCTAGTCCCAGGCTCTCTCTCTATTCGCTGCTTTGATATATTTAAATAAGTCTTAAAAGTTTTAAAAGCGAGAGAGCCTAGCAGATTTCGGTAAAATGGTCCCTGATTTCAAAAAAGTGGTCCCTGGCCTGGTTACCAAGCATACCTCATTTGTAAATGGAAAATGTTATGGAAATTTCCTTTTCATTATAATGAAGTCATTAGTTTTGCTCTAATGCTGTCGGAACAATGAAGTAGGCTACGTTTCGCGGCCATACGGTCAGAATGGAATCGTGTTTACTAAAATATATAGCCATATTAAATGCTATCTAGAAGCTTTAATAGCCATATTAAATGCTATCTAGAAAATTATGCCGAGTCTCCGACTAAGAATGTTTTGACAACACCGTCATGTCAGACAAATATTTCCAATCTCATCAGCAATTTAAACCTGTCAAGTAGAAAGCGTAGTTGTGTATACCAGTATGGTCTAGTGTTGATCACAACTTGCGAGTACATAAATAACATCAACGATTGCTCAAACTCGGTATCGTAAATTTGTATATAATCAGTTTTTTGTTGAGCACATTTTTAATACAGTTTGATTTGGTTATGTAGACATCGAACATGTACATGATGAACGAACATTGTCGTATTTATAATTAAAAGGTTACTTGTATATATAAATTTTCCGCCCTATTAAAAATACTGAAATCTGCTAGGCGTTCTGAAGCACTTGAGCGGTGACGTCACACCTAGGTCCCAGTCTCGTACTACATCCACTTTTTTTCTCGCGCTTGCTTCAGAACGACTGGGACTAGGCTGTGTTAATAGATAGTTTATTAGCATTCAACCAGTCAGTAATTTTATTCATTTCAATTTGAATAATTTTGTTCAACTGACATGTATGACTAAAAAGAATGTTTGTGTTATCCGCAAATAATACAATTGAAATAAGTTCACTGCAAAATTGAATATCATTTATATATAGCAGAAACAATAATGGACCCAACACTGATCCCTGTTGGACACCGCTTCTAATAGTCATTACCTCCAATTGTACGTCATTATATTTAACAATTTGTTTTCTATTGCACAGATAATTTTCAAACCATTTTTTGGCCACTCCCCTTATGCCATAATGCTCCAGTTTTTTTATCAGAATCCTGTGACTAATTGTATCAAATGCCTTTGACAAATCAAGGAAAATACCAACAGAGTATTTTTCTTCGTCAATTGCTTTGGTAATTTTGTCTACAAAGTCAATTATTACATGTTCTGTGGATCTATTTTTTCTGAATCCATACTGATGTTTTGATAATATTTTGTTTTTATCAATGAATTTTGATAGTCTGTTGATCATAAGTCTTTCCAGTAATTTAGAAAAGCAAACAAGAGCCGATATTGGTCGGTAATTTTCAAACTTCATTGCATCATTACCCTTAAAAATTGGTGTAATCATTGCAACTTTTAAATTATCTGGAATAATTCCAGTCGAAAATGTTAGGTTAAAAATATGTGTTAAGGGAATGGTCATAATTTATCATGGGGGTGGGGGGTGGGGGGGGGTGTGGGGAGGTGTAATTCAAAATTTTAGTTTTATCATACTTTTCATTCTAAGTTTAAAGAATCAATTTTTTTCAATGTAACTCAAACAAAATGTGAGAAGGCATGTATAAAACAATTAATTGAACTAAAACAGCAGATCCCCTCCCCGCCTTCATAAACTGTCTAATATTTTATGAAACCCCCCTTTTTCCTGGCTACAAAAATATGTGACCCCCCAACTGTTTCCACCTCCCCACCCCTCCTGCTAAATTATGACCAGTCCCTAATGGCTTAGAGATTTCCTTAACTGCCAATTTGGCAATGTTTGTATGAATACCATCGTATCCACAACTTTTTCTTGACTTCATACTTTTCAGTTCTATTTCAAGTTCATTTTCTGTGATAGGATTAAGAAAGAAACTGGATTGATAACTACCTTTGAGATATTTCTCAAAACAATTATTGTTATTACGTTTGATCTTATTTGCCAAATTAGGACCAATATTAATGAAGTAGTCATTGAAATTGTCAGCTATGGTTTTGGGGTCATCTATTATATTTGATGAGCAGTTTTCAACAAAGGTTTTTGATATTTTAGTATTTTTCTTTGGTTTATTAAGTAATTCATTTAGTGCATGTTTTCCACATCATTCTAGAATTTTGCTTATATTTTATTAACTGGTCCTCATAATAGGAAGGAAGGTGATCATGAAGTTGCTGCAAATAACCGCCCACTTTCAATGCTTAAAGTACTATCAAAGATCTGCGAAAAAGTTGCTCTAAATCAATTTAGCGGTTTTCTTAACCGCACTGACCGCCTATCCTCCTAACAAAGTGAAAACAAAAAGTATCACTCAACCGAAACACTCAGTATATTAGCCAATGATTTTTTGCTAAAATCGATGGACAACAAAAAGCTTACTGCTCTAAGCTTGCTCTAGTCCTTTTGGACCTCCCAAAAGCGTTTGAGAGCGTGGACCATTCAATCCTGTTAAAGAAACTAAGCAATATTGGGGTTTCAGGTGAAGCCCTTAACTGGTTGAAAGCTACATTACAGATAGAAAGCAAATTTATTGCTGCAAAGCTTTCGATCCGTAAGCCCGGATCGAAAGCTTTGCAGTAATAAATTTACGTGGTGTTTCCACAAACAAAACTATTATATTTTATCGCCATGCAAACATACAAAGAACTTATAGATAGAAAGCAGTTCGTTCGCATTGGCTCCTCGGTATCCGAAGTTTTATCAATCACCCACGGAGCGCCTCAGGGAGCAATATTGTCGTCGCTATTGTTCAGCATCTATTTAAATGACCTCTCATTAAGAGTATCACAAGCATCTGAGTTGGAATCATTCGTCGACGATTCTAAGATCTTTATGTCATTTTCAATTGAAGATATTGCTAGTGCAAAACAAAGATAGAAGAGGACCTCAAATTGGTCGCAACTTGGTTTTTCGAAAATAAACTGTTGATAAACCCCGAGAAGACAAAGTTACTCTTGATAGGAACTCGTCAACTGCTCGGTAAGCTCCTTGAGGAGAAGAAGAAGAAGAAGTTTTATTGAAAGTTTTATAAGTGCTTAAATTTAAATTAACATACAGTCAAATGCCTGTAATAACCATAAAAGCTAACTATGAACAGGCATGATGTAAGATTATGACAATATAGCAGGTTTAAAGATAAATCAGTCAGCTTGCAGTAACGGTGAAGACATAAACTGGGAAAATAGATACACGTTTGCATATAGCAAAAAATATTGATCAGTGAAGCAGCAACTCATGATAGGTTGGAAAATAAGTAGGCAAACAACCGGAACAAACCATTCGCATAATATTGTGTTGTAGTCTGGAGAAAGCATTGTATCCAAACAGGATCATCCAGTATAGTCCCTTACAATATTTAACATCATATTTTTTTTAAATACTCGAAAGCTAGTTGTTTTTAATGATTCATCTATAGAATTCCGAACTTTTGCTCCTTGAAAACCTATTGAAAATTTACCGTAGTTAGTCCTAGATTTGGAAATTACATAAGAACTTTTCGAGGCAAGCCTAGTGTTGTAATTATGAACGCTACTAACTGGTGTAAAAAAATTACTAAACACATCAGGTAAGAGGTGATTATGAAATCTAAACATAAATAAAGCTGTTTGAAAATAAACCAGATCATGTAACTTAATAAAACCAAGATGATTAAAAATGGGAGTGGTATGGTCTGTGTATTGAGAGAAGGTCATAATACGAATAACCCTTTTCTGAATAATAAATAAAGATTCGATAGTTTTCTTATAAGTATTACCCCAAATAATAATGCCGTAAGTAAGAAATGGATATATAAGGGCGTAATACAGATTTTTTAGCACTTGAAGATTAACAAAATAACGGATTTTAGAAATAAGCCCAACATTTCTTTTAAGCTTTTTGATTAAGTATTGAATGTGATCTCTCCAAGACAAATTACAGTCAATTATAATTCCAAGATATTTAATAGACCTTTCCTGTCTAATGTCAATATTGTTAACAGAAAGATGTACTGAATACAGTATTTTTTTTGTGGAGGATGAAAAATTACAAAATTAGACTTATTTATGTTAAGAGAAAGCTTGTTGGCACATAACCAATGATTTACTTTAACTAATTCTAAGTTAAGTTGATTTTCAAGTGAAATGATTCTTTTATTTTCATAAAATAAATTTGAATCATCAGCAAAAAGATGCCGAAAGTCGATTATATCCGAACAATAGTTGAAGTCATTAATATATAACAGGAACAATAGTGGACCAAGGACGGATCCTTGGAGTACCCCACATTCAACTACTTCTAAATCAGAAGAAACTTTATTAACTATTGTAAACGGTTTTCTATTGGAAAGATATGATATAAGCCATTCTAAGGCAATTCCTCTGATACCATAACATTCAAGCCTCTGAATAAGAATGGCATGATTTACAGTATCAAAGGCTTTTCTCAAATCCAGAAAACGCTACAAGAGTAGTTTTTCTTTTCAATTGATTTTTGTATTTTATCAACAATACTTGAAACAGCATAGATTGTAGAATGGTTAGATCTAAAACCAAATTGTTTATTGTATAAAATGTCATTGTAGTCAAGGTAACTCATTAATCTATGATACATTAATTTTTCCAGTATTTTATTAAAAACAGAAAGGAGAGAAATAGGACGATAATTTGTGAGACTATTTCGTGATCCGCTTTTAAAAACAGGAATAACTCTTGCAATCTTGAATTGGTCGGGAACAATTCAATTCCCATGCTAAAGGAATAATTGAACAATATTGCTAGGGGTTCAGCTATAAGTTCATTTATCATCTTTAGGATGTTTGTTGGTATACTAAACATACCAGTTGATTTATTACATTTAAGCTTGAAAATTATATTTTTTATTTCATCACAAGAAGTTGGAGATATAAAAAACTTTCTGGATTTCGATAAGAAATATAATCAACTGCCAGGTTATTTCCCTTCGGAATTAGATTTCCCAAATTTTTTCCAATGTTTGCAAAATATTCATTAAATGCATCAGCTATTTGTTTACTATCTTCTAATTGTACTCCATTAACCTTTATTTTTAATGGCACTCTAATATTGTTAGTTTTAATAGTTATAATCTTCTTTACACCTTGCCACAGTTTCTTAGTATTATTACATATAATTAAAAAAGTTATTGTAATATTGTCTTTTTCTTATTCTGATGAGGTGATTAAGCTTGTTACGGTATATTTTTACGGTGTATAGACGACAATTACATTTCTTGGAGAAGAGATTACACCAACCACAAATGCCAAAGACCTGGGATTAACCCTAGACAGTTATCTGACATACGATTACCATATCAGAAATGTTGTATCATCTTGTATGGCCAAGCTGTGTCAGATAAACAGAGTGAAGGATAGCTTTGATAGAGATAGTCTTCGCTTAATTATCAATGCTTTAGTAATGAGCAAACTTTATTATTGCTCTACAGTATGGTCAAACACTTCTGCAACAAATATAAAGAATTTGAGAGCAGTACAGAATTTTGCTTGTAGATTATTGACAAATACGGGAAGATATGATCATGCATGTGACACCAGCACTACCGGCAATTCGCTGGCTTCCTGTAGAGGAACACTTAAATGATATAGAGAGACACTAATAACATACAAATGTATGAACGGATTAGCACCACCTTACCTATTCAAATTATTTATAAAAAGAAATGAAATTCGCGATCTAAATACAAGGAATAATAAAGTGCTACACATCCCTCAACACAAAACAGTTTCAAGACAAATAACCTTGTATTACAGAGCGGTGAAGTTATGGAATGACTTGGATGAAAACCTTAAAAAGTTACCTTGGAAAAGTTTTAAAACTGAGTTAAAGCAGAAGATGCTAAACAACAATTAATTACATTTTCTGATATTATAGATTTAATGGATTTTAAATAAATGATAAATATGTAATTATACTTCGTATCTCATAGACAAACAGATTTTAAATAAACGCTATAAATAGGAATTTTAATTATAGTATACCTATTCGTTCTGTAAATAGGTATTGAAAAACCCTCTCCGGCAATACTTCATTGAATAATAATAATAATAATATTTTTTCTTTGCCATTTTTATGATATGGTTTAATTTATTTTTATAATTTTTGTATAATTTTTCATTTTTGCTGTTTCGATTTATAAGGAAGGTTTTGTAAAGTTTATTTTTATTTCTAACTGACTTTAATATACAGTTAGTCATCCAGGGACTTTTTGTTTTGTTAATTTTTGTAGAGTATTGTTTCTTCTTCAGTGGGAAATTAGCTTCGTACAGTCTGTAAACATTTCCAAAAATTCATTATAGGCCTTTTCCGCGTCAAATTGAGTAATATTGAGTAATGAGTTTCCCGTCCGAACTTTCCCGTCTAACTTACCCGTCCAAACAGACGGAAAATTTAGACGGGAATCCCATCTAGACGGGAAACTAGTCTTAAATTCGAATTTATCCGTCCCTAATTCATATTCAGACGGGTTTTAATTGACACATGAAGAGTTTCCCGTCTAAGACGAGTTTCCCGTCCCTGAATATGAATTCGGCTAATATCATCACACGACATCACCGAATAAAATATTCCACATTGCAAAATTGTTTGCAGTAAAAGAAAATTAAGTTTCGGTAATGCGATTGGTAGCGAAAATATCACAGATTTTTTTGTTTGCTCTGGCAGAATTCCCAGTTCAATACCCCATTCTCAATAAAAAAGAGTAATAGCACTTTCGTTGGGCCCAACACGAATCTAATGAAGTGTTTGGTGGTACGTCTAAGGAAGTCTGGAGGATATTAGATGTCAGGGTTTTTTAAAGAAAAATTTAGAACTGCACATTTTGTTATGATATTATAAAAATTTACCTAAAGTGTAATAATTACTAATAAAGCTTCTTGCGATTGATTTGCACTATCATACTAAGTTTCGGGAGAAAAGGGTGGTCTTGAGGTCCTCCCCCAGGAAATGTTTACATTTTTGAAGCTCTAGGACTGCATTTTTGGCGTTTTCTAAAGCAAGTTCGCAAACGGCAAATTGGATGTAAATTGACTGTATTTTACAAAAATGATTATCATTTCACAAAAATAATTACTGTGTTACGCAAATTTAAGAAATTTTACCTGAAAATGTCAAAAGTTTAACTTGAAATTTATCTGATTTTTGCGTGGCCCTGAGTTTCACAATTGGGGGGTTTTACACCCCCCACACCCCCGGGTCGCTACGTTCCTGGGTGAAATTCAACTCACGCAATTTGCTAAAATACATGTATCTGAATTTTGTAATTTAATACGTCTGGTAATGTGAAGCGATTTACTCCTCCATGGAAAATAGGGAATGTCCTCCAAAGCTATCTGACAGGACCTGGAAAGGGTGTATTTCTATTATAATAATATTTGCATGTCAAATGTCAAAAATACGTCAATTTCTATCATAATTATATGGATAATATTTGGGTTGCTCGAATGGTACAGTATTAATTTAATTGTTATTAATTATTTATTATTTCCGTTCTTTATAATAAAGGTTCAATTCAATTCAACTACTGAAAGCTCGTACTTTTTTCAACTGCACAGATTTTTTTAGTGTTGCACAAATTGATTTAGAACTGCACATTTTGTGTAGAACTGCACGTTAAAAAAAACCCTGTTAGACCGTGTTTGGGACATTCCATGGGAATTGTCAATGATAATTTAAAAAATGCTGATCTTTAATTTTCGATTTCTATAGCTACAGCGGAAAATGCTGAATCTGATGAGGTACGTTGTTACATTATTCATGAAATTGACATTGTGCAAATCCAATCCGATCATATCACCCCACCAGAATTTTTTAAGTAGCAAACTAGGACTGGAAATTAAATATTTTTTTAGGTGCGTTTATATAGTAAGTTTAATGTTAACTTAATAATCCTCTGCCCCCTCGTTTAAAAATTTACTGACAACAGCCAACTGGAAATATGTTAAAACACTACCTCAGCCTATCATTGTGAAATGCTTAAATACTAATTTGTGATCAAAATAAATTGTGATCGGTTGAATGTGTATACATTTAGATTTCATATCAAAAAAGTCAAGTTAATGAGCAGGAAGTCAATGACTCTGTTGTAGCTTGGAATACTCAGAAAGTACCGAAACGACGTGTTCTTGAACACCCAATGTAAGTTCTCCCACTGTAAGTTCTGTTCTCATACTGTAGTTATAGTTTCTGCCGTGTGCATAAGATAAAGAGAGATTTGAAAAGTAAAATAATTTATGCGTTCGAAATCTTTGGAGTTGCGTTTCATTCCTTTGTATGACGCATACATGGTTTGTGTTAAAGTCTACTCTCTCATGAGATTGTAATTAGGGGTTGACCATTAGAAAAATAATGCGGGGGGGGGATTTTCAGCTCGCACGGAGTATTTTTTCGGACGTCTGCTTGTGCTGGGATTCTTTTGCGGAATTTTAAAGGTATTGTTCTTTGTTTTCCTCTTTGCAAGCGGAATTTTTTCTTCTCGGTTTTCATTTCCGCGATTTTCTGTTTCCCCCTTCTCTTTATCGTCGCCAGATAACAGTAAATCTCGTGTCTTCAAACATTACCCAGGAAAAGAACATCATATGGAAAGTTTAAGTTGTGGAAGAAAATTCTTTACATTTTTAATAGCAAATGATCTCGTATGACGGTAACGAAACATTCAAATGGAAAGGTTTTGCTTTTACCAATGGTAAAATATACTTTTATAGGCTAAGTAAGTGTCTGATTGCCTGATCTCTTGGTTGGTTGATTGAACACGTCATTTGAACAGCTCGTTAATTGATTGATTGATTTTATTATTTAATCCTTTTCCGTTTACTGTTCAGTAAACTTAACTAATTTATCGAATATTGTGAAGAAGGATCCGCAGTAATTGGCTGTAGCTGTTGCGGATATCCTGCCTTGTTTATATATATAGTAATTTGTTGTTTCTTCTTAATATTGTTACCAAGGCAAAGTTAGATAAATTAAAATTAAATTAAAATTAAATTAAATATTGTGGGATTTGGCCATGACAATGGTAATCTAATGCAAATCTGCCCGGTAATTTCCTGTCAGCCTGAATAAGACTATTGAACTTTCGTTGATTGGCCATTGGTTGTGTCATAGACAATCCAGAAGATTCTGTCTTCTGGATTGTCTATGGTTGCGTCTATAGCAGTGCATATACTTAAAAGTCCGGTGCCTCTGCTAATGGAGCACTGGTGGTGAAAGCGGTCGGTCCACTCTCCCTTACCGCGCGCTCAGTTATATGCATATGCCTGCATGGGTAACTTCAGTGGCGGAAATTCACTTTTTCCGGTGGGGGGGGGGCGAAGCCTTCTAAATTTCCGACAAAACTTTCAAATCTCCGACAAACCCCCCCATTTGCACTCGAAAAGGCTGTTTTTAGCCCTTTTATAGGTCAAAATTTCCGAAAATTCGTCATTTTCCACGAAGGTGGGGGGGGGGGGGGGGGCGGCCGCCCCCCGCCCCACCGAGATTTCCGCCACTGGGTAACTTCTCTGTATTTCAAAACTCATGAAAGTAGAGTTTGGTTGCTTCTCTCCTGTACTTTGCAGGAGTTTCTGCGGGCCCTTCGTTTTCCTCTCACACAAAAAACTAACCAGGCTAGGCCTTTGTCGAGAATATCATGAGCCTCTACCTTGTATGAATTGTGCAATCACACCCTGTGTAATCGATCGGCATTATTATTATTATTGATTCATTTGATTGTTGTATTTTGTAGTTTACCTAAAGATGGTGAAAAGAATGTCCTCATTACCTCAGCACTTCCTTACGTGAACAATGTTCCTCATTTAGGAAACATCATTGGCTGTGTTTTAAGTGCGGATGTATTTGCAAGGTAACGCATCCTTGGGAACTTTAATTTTATACTGTCCACAACTTTTAAATGTAAAACATGAAGGGTCTATTAGTTAAGTTTAATACTTGACTATATGCGTATTTGTAATCTTTCAATCTCTGCTGGATATTTTATTTCAAATCCAATTTTTATTCTTACTCAGAACACGTCATTTCGGTGAGCGGTTGAAAGTACGAACTGGTTTAATTATAATAGATAGAGGCCCGACCAAATAAATAATTCCTTGCGTGAATAGCCCAATTTTTTTGTAATACTTCATTCACGTATTCTTGTATCCTCTACTCTTGTAGGTTTTGCCGTCTCAGACAATATAACATTTTGTACATCTGTGGTACTGATGAATATGGGACTGCATCAGAAACAAAAGTAAGTTCTTTAAATGATTAGTGTCAGGGTCATGCATTGCGGGCTTTTGTTATTGTTTACATTTTACTAAAATACAACAAATAGCTTGTTTGGTTCATTTCTGATAAAAATCAGACAAAAAGAGCAAGGATTATAAAAGGGTGGTTTAAATATATGACGGATTGTAAAAACTTTCCAGATCATCTAATCTATTCGTCCCGAAAAATGCATGGCCGCCAGCAAGAGTTTGAGTCCGCGAATTCCTGGTGTGACACTAATCCTTTAAAGATGTTAGCAAAAATGTTCTATACAGTAGAATGAAAGGACGCCAAATATGGGCTTTTTTGTTTGTTTACTTCAAATTGAACTCTAGTTTTCTATTAAATAAATGTAGATGCATCCATAAATGCGACAGCTATATATAGTTTCGTAATTTATATAATTTATTTCATGACCCATGCATGCATTTTTAATTTTTGCATGGAATTCGTGGCAACAGTGCATGATGGTCCTTAAAATTTCATATTACATTAACATTATGAATAGCCCTTAAAATTTATGTTGAAATAAGGAAAAGAACCCCTGTAGAATTGATAAATCGAAAACAACTTAAACAAGGTAAAAGAAGAAAATACTTTAATTATATATCACTATGAATTAACTAACGTTTCATTTGATTATCATACCTCCTATTTCCCCCTATATCATGCCCCCTAATAAAATTGCACTTTCATTGCGTATAGGCTCTGGAGGAAGGTGTCACTCCAAGAGAGATTTGTTCCAAATATTTTAAAATTCACAGCGAAGTTTATGAATGGTTTAATATTCAGTTTGATTACTTTGGAAGAACAACCACTAAAGAACAAACAAAGTATAAGTCCTGTTTTATTATATATTATTATGTGTTATTTTCACAACATCAATGGTTTATATATGCTTGAAATGGGGCCTTCGCAGCATATATAGGCATCTGAGCAACCTCCTTTCATTGCACTCACGGGCGTGAAAAGAGGCAGTGCAAACGCTCTAACAAAGTAGTTGGTTTTCTTCACGCCCGTTCAAACCATTCCAATTAACAATGTTGGAGAGTGTTCAATAAAAATGTTAAACCAAGTCAGGCCTGAGGTCCAACATCAACCATCATTCCCATATAAATATGTAATATAATATTCAAACAGATCCGACATTGGTGCATCCAATATGTAGGATGATATTGAACTAGACAGATCACAGATGAACGCGACTTTGGCGTTCTGAGGTTTTCCCCATGCAATTTTGAAAGCAGACAGGGTGGGTAGGATATATAAATTAGTTAATTTATATGTGTGGTTGTTTGTCACATTAATAGTAATAATAATAGCTTTCAGAACAGCGAAAGTCTGCATGCTATGGCTGATTAGCTATAGTGATGCGCGCACCGATATAGAAATTCACCGATATTTCGATAACCGATACTGAGGGACCGATCAATTCTATGTCGTTTCACAAAATTCAAAGATGACATCATGACAGTTCTACTTTAATACTTTTGAATTTAATTAAATTCAATTCAATTCATTTGTTTCTAAATACTGAAAATATGAAATGAAATTCCGCAAATCCATGCATGCAACAAACTAGTATATCACTGACGCTAGTGGCTGTTTATTTATAATAAAAATAACTATTGAACTACAACTATAACCAATCATAAATATTCAATAACAGTTCGTAATATCGGTAATATCAATAATAGGCCGATATCGATACTCGATATACACCGATATGGATATCGGTGCATCACCAATATTAGCATTTCAACAAAATTATATAGTGTCCACAATCTCAACAACAGTTTTATACGAAAATATTCATTATTACATTTTTCTTTAGAATTTCTCAAGATATTTTTTGGAAGAATTACCACAATGGCCTAACACTGGAAAAGATAGTAGAACAGCTACACTGCGGAAATTGCAATAGGTAAGGCAATCAAGATTCGGAAAGTCTAGGGTAACCTTGGAATTAGTATGTCAGGATCTCTGAGAAAAATTATCCCATTTGTTTTTTTTTTAATGTTATTAAAATAAGTAGTAAGCTTAAGGTTGTTATCATGATTCTAAGTTTAGAATCTAAATTACTAAAAGTTCCTAGCTTAATTGTTTTGTTGTGTATATGCAATTACCGTCACAATAATATCATATTAATGCATAATAAGTTACAGAAAACAAATTTAACAACAACTTCAATTGGATATAGTTCTTTTCAGAATTCTCCATATATATGATGGTCAACACGATATATAAGACTATTATTTCTATTTTAGATTTTTAGCTGACCGATTTGTGGAGGGAACGTGCCCACTTTGTGGTTTTCACGTACGTTTTCAAGATGTATTTGTGTGACTATGTTTACGCCCTGTACCCAATTTATATTATCGCATAACGTACATGCTTTAATTGTTACCACAGTTTGGATAATCTAAGCATATGATCAGTGAGTTAATTGGCTGGCAACAAGGGGGAATTTCGTTCTCGACCAATCAGCGCATTTGTTGACAATTTTAGTTTAAGCCAATCAGAATGCGTAATTGGTCAATGTAGGCAGTTTCTCTGCGAGGACAGAAAGCCCACTTCCGGTAAAAACATCCATTTGAACAGAAAATATAGGGTCATAAAGCTTCGAGGGGTCAGAATTTTTAATTTTTTGATTGGAATCGACGTGACAAGGTAAAATAAAAAAATTGCCGCTGCGATTTGCGTTTTTTTTCCCTAATTCTAAAATTATTGGCATTTGAACTTACGCGCTTTAAAACTAGGCAATAAAACGCAAATCCCAGCGGCAGATTTTTAGAAAATTTCATATTTTACCTTGTGACACGTTAAATCCAATCAAAAAATAAAAAATCCTGGCTCCCTCGAAGCTTTATTTAAGACCCTATATTTTCTGGTCAAATGTGTGTTTTTACCGGAAGTAGTAACCAATTACGCATTCTGATTGGCTTAGAGCAAAAATGTCAACAAATGCATTTATTGGTCGAGGACGAAATTCCTCCTTGTTTTGGCTGGCAGTACCGCAGCAGGCAAAAAGACGAAACGAATTGAGCATGCCTATCGAAGGGAAGATGGCTGTGAAACCCATTAGAATAACAATATAACTCATTATCTATGTTAGTCAACGTTTATTCATAAATCTGGTCCTTCAACGTCACGTGTGTATTGTATTTTTGCCAAATCCACCAATAACAATTCCCAATTTGGTAACTTTCCTAAAACATTGCTATTGGTTAGTTGGGCAAAAATACAATACACACGTGACGCTGAAGAACCAGAGTTATGAATAAACGTTGACTAACATAGATAATGAGTTATATTGTTTTTCTAATGAGTTTCACAGCCATCTTCCCTTCGATAGGCTATGAATTGACTGATTAGGTTAATTGTTTATGCATATAGTTGATGATTTAGTTACGAAATGCATTTAAAAAAATGATTGACCTTCTTACATTCGAATGGTTATAGGGCGGGGGTTGGGCAGCGCCAATACAGATTTTAAAGATTAATATATTCCAACAGGATGCTCGTGGTGACCAATGTGATGCTTGTGGCAAACTCATCAACGCAACTGAATTAAAGGTAGTACTTTATATTTTATATATGGCTTACATGCAGGCACGTTTCACTAAACACTCTCATGCTTAACGCTTACTGAAACCCGCAATCAATTCCTTACTTCTTAGCTCTTCTTCCCGTTAAGGGACCGGTCATTATTTATGGTGGGGGTGCCACCAACAGAAATGTTTTTCGTCGCAATCATTTTGCTGACTCAACCATTAAAAAGTCAAAAATTTGATTACTTAACCTCAAATATCCGTTAAAAAATAAATACCCATGTACCCCTGGCCAAACATTTTACAAAACGATACCATTCAGTTGTTGAGTTTGATAACGAATTTCTCAGCAGTTCAAAGTTTCATGTTATTTGCACATGCACTTTTATTACCCAACCCTTGAGTTGTTTTGTTTTCATTTATCCAACCTTTTACTTACTCAAAATTTTGTTTACCCAACCCTTTTCTCTTCGGTGCCACCCCGCCATAAATAATAACCGGTCCCTAAACTCCATACAAGTAAAGTTTAAAGAAAAGCTTCTATGTCACCCCAGCCGTTTGTCATCATTAATAGAGACCTTAAGATTGACGTTTACGGCAAACGTCAAACCGCTAGCGAGGTTTTTGATTTTACAACTCTATTATACCAGCTTTTACACCAGTTTTAAAATATGTTAAACTTATTAAACTTGTGCTCTTTAGCAATGATTCAAGAAAGCAAATTAACCACTAGTCATGCCATTCACCAAAGCAGTAAGTTAAGATTTGGCGTTTGAAGTTGACGTTTGGCGTATAATTAATTTGCTTTCTTAAATCATTGCTAAAGAGCACAAGTTTAATAAGTTTAACATATTTCAAAACTGGTGTAAAAGCTATAATAATAGAGTTGTAAAATCAAAAGCTAGCGGTTTGACGTTTGCCGTAAACTGGCAACCACCATATTTATGTACCAAAGATCAGTTTTCCTTTAAAACTCTCAATACTAATTTAGAATTTTTACTGCAGACTTTAATATAATACAATGTAATGTGCAGCACATGTCCTGTCATATTGGGTAATTTATGCCGTGTATTTGCTTTCTACTTGCACTTTCTGTTTTTTAGTCTCCTCGATGTAAAATTTGTAGTCAAACACCGGCAGTTAAGAAAAGCAAACATCTTTTCTTAGACTTGACAAAGGTTCGTATTGGATTGTTGTTGAATCTTGTCAATTTCAGCCAGCCTTCTTGCAGCAGGTTAACTGTTGCAAGATATGCAGAAATAATCTATCAGTGTTTGTTTAAATTGTATGTTCCGTATAAGTAGTTGTATTTAACAACAATCTGCAGTAGAATGTAGCCTTTATAGCCCTAACCACCTGGTAAGGGCCTTCGAAATGTTTTAATAATTTTCAGGTAGTTCATAGTTCGTGTTCAAAATTTATGCATTCCTTTTGGTTTTTATTTTCAGTTACAACCCGAGTTAAGTTCGTGGATAGAGAAAGCATCAACTGAAGGTATATGTTTTACATGGAAAAGAGTGTCACTGCTTTGAAGTAACATTTGTCTTTTTTATACAATAAATTAAATTAGCATTGTTTTATTAATGACGACTGCGTCTGCGACTAGAACGTTTTAACTTTATCAATGGACCATTTGCATTATAGACTAAATTTTGATCTGGACAAAAATTTCATCACAGCTTGAAAGAGCATCACAAAATTAGTAATATTCCAAAGTTTCGTTGCGAAATGTTGTAAAATGCGGATAATATAGCCTTGCGAAATTTGCAATTTTCAGTCATTTTGCATTATAAACGGGAAATTGATGCCCCAACACCCGATTGGGCTGTCAATTTCCCGTGCGTAATACAAAATGACTGAAAAACGGCAAACTTCGCAAGGCTATATTATCCGCATTTTACAACATTTCGCAACGAAACTTGGGAATATTACTAATTTTGTGATGCTCTTTCAAGCTGTGATGAAATTTTTGTCTAGATCAAAATTTAGTCTATAATGCAAATGGTCCATTAGTATAGCATTATATTTTAATGAGAATCCTTTTGTAGATGACACATTTCCGAAATGATACAGTTGGAATATACAATCTAAAAGACCTTTATATAATTAGGTCATCAGCAACAAGATAAAGGGCTCCAAAACTGATATCTCAATCACGAAAGCGAGGTTCTATAGTCAAGGCTGAGTACTTTCCGGAAGGGTGTATTGGAACGAACGCGGCACCGGCCGACGTGATTGGCTTGAAATTGATTAATACAAAATATTACAAAGTGTGTCGGATGTTTTTAATGAAATATAGCAAAAGTTTGACAGAGGATTTTTTCTTCTTTAGAATAAATCATTCATTTTGAACTAATTTCGAGATGTTATAAAGCTTTTAAAGGCCTGCTTTCCACGAAATGTTTTGAAGACCAATTCCTTTAAGGTCCAGAGATGGAATAAACATTGTCGGCATTTGTACATTGTCTAATCATATAGCGATTGGCGACTTGTCTGATGCTCAAACGTGTCAAAATACTCACATGTTTATGTCGTTCTATTTAACTATTAGTCGTGTAGTGATCTTTGGAATCTTCACACCTGATCGGCCAAAGATATAGTCTCCCCTTTTCTAAAGTTGAGACAGCCTTTTAATGTTCTCTTAAACGTGTGCTAAATTGGTGTTTTGGCTGACCTAGATATTTTCTCACACTGTCAATTACCGCATAGTATAGAATACAAATCATGATATCTGATACTATAGGGAACTGGAGCGCAAATTCCGAAAACATTACCAAAAGTTGGCTACAGGAAGGTCTGAAACCTCGCTGTATAACACGCGATTTAACATGGGGGACACCTGTGCCACTTGAAGGCTTTACAAATAAAGTGTTCTACGTTTGGTTTGATGCACCGATTGGGTAAGAAATATACTATACAGTTGTAGACTACTTTGCTTAGACTAGATAGCTGTACCTGTTTGCCCTCCATAATGATTTCATCCATTTCTTATTCATGCAGTGTTACTATAGGAGGAACGATTTTTAGTGGTAATTAATGTCAAATTCGAAGAAGTGGTTTTATTGGTTTATGGTTTTCTACGGTTTTCAGTTTTCTACGGTTTCCAGCTCAGAACACAGCAGACTATCTCTGTTGAAATGCTTGAACGTGTTATCAAGACAGCGGCATTTGTGAAAGTTGCTAAGTTCGGAGTTTATATTTTCTTATCTTTCTCAACACACCTGAGAATAATGTGTTGATTCCACCTTTTTGAACCTTGTAGATATCTATCAATCACAGCTAACTACACGGACCAATGGGAAAAGTGGTGGAAGAATCCTGAGCATGTCAGTTTATACCAGTTCATGGCGAAAGACAATGTGCCATTTCATACAGTTGTATTTCCAGCAACATTACTGGGAACCAAGGAACCTTACACCTTACTCAACAGTATTAATGCCACAGGTGAGATGAATTTCGTTTTTGCACATAATTGATCTGAAAACTAGGACACACGAAAGTGAGAGAAAGGACTGAAAGAAGCATTTCTATTCAGACAATACGTGTCCTTTCTAATCCATGATCAGAAATTCTAAGAACCTCTTGTATCAAGTCAGCAACACCATGCACCACAGAGATTTGTGGTGGTAACACCAATATGTCATGCAACCACTCCATTAACTTTGTTCGTGCATAGCAGGTGCAAATACGCTGTCCTAGTTTTGCAATTATAAGTCTAAGTTGATATTAATTAAGTATGAAAAGTGTGGCGTTGAATTGAATCATATATGCAGGTAGGTAATAGACGTAACATACAGTACATCATACATGCATGTGTGCTTGATTGTGGTTGTAATTAAGAGTTTGTACATTGTCTAACCTCTAGAAAAAGGGTTTTCCTGTCTCCTTATTTCTTCTTAGTCGTTCTTAATGCCCAGCACTGATGTCTACGTAAAAATGCTTAGGTTCACACGGAAAGCATGCATGCATTTACAATTTTTTTGTATATATAACACATATATGAAATAAGTCCTCCCTACCCGCTTTCAGCATGCATTAAATAATTCTGTAATGCAAATATAATCATTATTTTCTATGATAGAGTACTTAAATTACGAAGACGGAAAGTTCTCCAAAAGTCGTGGCGTAGGTGTATTTGGTAACGATGCCAAAGATACAGGAATACCTTCGGATATTTGGAGATTCTATTTGCTGCAAACTCGACCTGAATCACAAGTGCGTTAAGTACACTCGAATTTAGTTTGTTCACATTAATTAAAATCACTTCATTGCTTTTATTGCCTCATCTTGGACTGGTTAATTGTCACTTGTTCATTTGGGGCTTATGTAAACAACCTCTAATTAAAACATCGCTTGCTATTCAGGACACTGTGTTTGCCTGGGCGGAATTTGCTATGAGGAACAACACAGAGTTGCTGAACAATTTGGGAAACTTCGTCAACAGGTTAGCTCTTACACTCAAAGTCTCCAACTGTTTCTATGGCAATAGCTCAAAATACCGAATATAGTGAAAGCCTAAAAGGCTATCTAATTACAGTTATTTTAACATAATGTGGCCTTATTTTCCTTCCTAATATTTTTCTTTCCATACCATGCAGAGCTCTGGTGTTTTTGAACAACAACTTCAATAAGAAAATGCCATCAATAATATTGAATGATGAAGACAAGAAACTGATTGCTTTAGTAAACCGCGAGTTGAAACAATATATCCAGTTGATGGATCTCATCAAGTAAGCAGCTCTGACTTGCATATAATTATAACATATAGTGATGCAGGGTCTATTTAGGGTAGGGCGTAATTGCCTCAGATACTTTCCACGAGTGATTTACTTCAGTAATTGGCGGCTTAACTGATGCTTGATTAAATCATAAATAGAATATCGTCACCGCTCGTGGAAGTCAAAAGTGAAGGCCTAAATTTTATCGGGGGAGTATTCTCCTTCATCCTCCTATACCAGATTTAGATCTGACGTTCCATTGTTTTATACCGTCAATGTATACGACCATATACTGTACACGCGCTATTTGGATGCAACATTGAAAAGATCAGACCCCCTCACCCGGCATAGTGTTCACCACCGTTTCTTGGTGATGCAAATTAGATTTAAAAAGACGCTTTCAAATAAACGAGTTGAGCAGTAGACATACGTTAACTTTCTTTCATTCATGCATGCCATCACCAGATATTATATCTTAATATGCTTACAATTCAAGGATCTTTTTTAGAATGAGAGATGGTTTAAAAGTTGTGCTGAATATTTCTAAGCTTGGTAATCAATATATTCAGGCAAATAAACCTTGGGTATTGGTCAAGGGCAACGATGATGAAAGGTACAGGCATCAGTTATTTTTTAATGAGTGTGGTGCAATTTCATCACATTTTATAAGCATTTATAGTTTCGTAGATCGTTTTCGTACCAACCATAAGTTAAAACATAATACATTGATGATTTACATGTTTATATATTTCCACCCCTGGTCGATGTTTTTCTTCATAATGTTTAATATTTTATTTCAGGTCAAGGGCTGGCAGTGTGATTGGTCTTGCATGCAACTTGACAAGTTTATTGTCTGTTCTCATTCATCCTTTCATGCCAGGTGTTAGCGCGGAAATCCGAAAACAACTTCAGGTATATATAATTATATATATACAAGATTGCTAAAAAATGACAGTATACTCAAGTAGTACTAATAGGCCATATTGAACTAGTCTACTAATAGGCCATATACAATGATTTCTCCTTGAATTTTGAGACTGGTTAATTCGGTAAATTTAGATTAATTTGTCCATAACTACCATAAATTGAAACACAATTAAGGAAACACAATTACGTACTCTAATAATAATTTTCTTTAACTTTATGCAACGAAGAGAACTAGTTGCATTGGTGTTGTGTGGGAAACCCAGTTTCTAACACCACAAAAATGCAGAAATACAGGCATTTTAGGAGTTCGTCTTCTACAGGTAGACGGAGTAAATATGCTCCTCCAATTAGTAACATACGTGGTATTTATACAGGCAATAATCAGCTGCATCAATAGTTGGATCAATACTTTATTGTCGAAATGCTTTAGATGAGTTACTAATAATGATATTTGGTGAGCCGAAAAATTGTTAATGCAAATTGCAAGTAAAATGACGTTATCATACTAATATGATCGATGTTTATCGAACCAGTCTCATATAGGTCTTAAACCACTTGAATGTGCAGCTCGACGTATATGAAATACTCTTTTTTTACATTCTTTTTAAAAGTAGCCTACGTATACATAGGCTAATAAAGTTAATTCCTGAAAACAATATCTCATTTTAAATTTAAACAAACTTTATTTTAGGTTTCTGACGAACATTGTGTCATTGTTGATTCATTTGTACCACATCTGGAAACTGGTCACATTATTGGCGAGGTATGAGGAAGTACTTTCAAATCTTTATAAAGAAATAACATTTTCATTGAGAACATCAATATATATAATCTCCAGGTTCTAGAATAACTATATATTTATATTGTATACTTATTTGATACTTATACTTTGATATCGCCTTTAAATGTCTTTCTTTTATTTCAGCCCAAACCTTTGTTTGAAAAAATGGACAGCAACAAAATGGAAGAATTCCGACAACTTTATTCTGGGCAACAAAGTGATCGAAATAAGGTAATATATATTATATATTATATATATCAGTGTGTGTGTGTGTGCATGTGTTATGTGCATGTGAAAGACAAACCAAATCATGCATAATAGAATAAAATCTAAAATGTAATGCTATAGTAATGCTTAAGGTTATATATATTATTATATATATTATATATACACATGCACATCACGACCGAGCCCTGCAATTAACTATTCTCTCTTAAATTTAATCCCATAGCTGCACATAGGCTAATTATTAAGCCTTTTTCTATCCAAAGCTCTCCCTTTCTGTGGGGTTTTTAATGTCTGTGACGTAAATAACATGTGTCAGAGAATCATCCAACCGCCAATGACCCTCCCCAAAAAATGTTTACCACAAATTTCCGTCTGTCCCTTCCCAATCCTGCTTAAAGAACTGTTCTGGTTGTTGAATCTCAACAGAAAAGGTGTTACGCTGCTTCCCACCTATTGTTTTTTGCACTTTCTATATGTAATCTGAATTGATGATTAATGCCGAAAGTCCGTCCTTACACCGTGCTATTAAAAGTGTCACCAATCACAATCGAATCGCATATTTTACTTTTCTTTCTTTTCACATTTAAACATCCATCCAACAATCTCCTCTGTTTTACGTAATTTCGCCCTGTCTATATAGATGGTTCTTATTAATTAAGGTTTCTTGTCTCCGAAAACATATCATAAGCTGTTGAGACATTTTACTGTAGAAAACGTATAGGTGAAAAGTTAACCATGCTTTAAATTCTTCAATATATGTCATAGAGAGAACATAAAGTACGGTGATAATCAATACCCAAACCAACTCTGTTACCCTCTTTACTATTTCTATTTTCCAAAAGCATTAATCTATCAACCTTTCTCGTCTGGCTAAACTGATTCTCTATGTAGCTATGTATTCCCTACCATAGCCCCTATTCATCAAGAAACCTCTCAACTCATTTATATGCAGCCTCTTTTCAAAGGTTCCAAAGGAATTCGGAATTTCCTTCTTATAACATATAGATATATATGAAAAAGTTTACTCAATGAACACTACTATACTACATGTTGAAATTTTCACGTGGGAAGTAATTAGTAATCCACGTCGAAACATTTTCTTTTTAGGGAAAGCCAACAGAAGAAGAAATAAAAGCTCTTGAGGGTGATATTGCAAAACAGGTCAGTATTTTGATATTTTTGAGAAATTGAATTTAATATTGATGTAAAGCAAAAATCTCTGAGTAGAACTTTAAACTCTGACAGATATTAGTGAAGAACCACTGATATTTGTAAATCTGTATGTATACATCATGTGTATATATCATGTGTCAGTGGGTTGAACTGGCGATGTTGCACTTATTATTGAGACTAGTGCACATATTTATTTCGAGTTTTCGTTATGAATGGCTAGTAAGTGAAATGTTGTTATTCTAGGGTGATGTTGTACGTCAGCTAAAGGCAAGTAAAGCTGAGAAATCAACGATCGACGCCGAAGTGGCTAAACTGCTGGATCTTGAAAAGAAATTGAGTCTAGCAACTGGAACCAAACCAAATGAGAAATGAGTGAAATGACACTTCTGCCAAGAAAAAGAACAAGAGAACGAATAAATAATTGATTGATAAAAATAAAACTATAATGAAATAATGTTTTAAAAACTGAAATAGAAAAGTTCGACAAAAACATTTCTTTCTTCACTAGGACATTGACGGTTAGAGTTTCACCTATGACCGCGACCGTTTAAAGTTTAATTTAGTATTGACAATGCTGAAATAATGCGATTGCATGAAGTGTATTTTGTGCGGTATTAATTAAGAGTCTTAAGAGATATTAAACTCAAGTCAAGAATAAGCACGATTATTATTCATTGTACTGTGTTCTCGGTTTTTCATTGGCTAAGAGCCTACAAATAATTTTGGGTATTTGTAGGTGCCTGCGCTATTTCCAGCGCAAACAGTAATCTGCAGAGGTTATTGGACAGCGCCCGAGATATTTCAGCGGTATTTTATGTGAAAATACAACTTGGAGGGAAATTTTTAGTTGAGCAATGATCAATTCAATGAATATTTATTTGTTTTCAATTGTTGCTTGTTTTGTTTTCTTTCTGTCACAAAATGAATAATAAAACAAATATTGAATTCGGCTTGCGCAGGATAGCAGAATTATTTAGACCTCGGTCAATGTTATCTGCCTCAGCCTTCGGCTTCGGAAGATAACATTGACCTCGGTCTAAATTACAGGCCTTAAAATATCGGTCGGTCACGGACATTGTCCGACCCATTCGTGAAATTGTCCGACGTGGAAAGAAAACCACCGGACATTCTGTCCGGCCAAAGTGAAACTGAGGTTTATTGTTTGTCCGCGACCCGAGTGTATTGGTGTCCGACCGAATTGTAGCTTTGTCCGACGTAAATCAAAATGTACCCTAGCCCAGGACTAGATGCTTGTATATTAAATGGAAAATCAGAGTACTATTGTATAAAAGGTCACTGATTAAATGTTGGAGGGGGGGGTCCTAAGTTTTCTAGATGAAGGTGAGGGCGTCTTGAAAATAAAGGTCATGTGATTGGGGGCGGCTCTAAAAAAGTCCAATATTTGGTATTTATCACCCACCGCCCCCCTCCCATTATTAATGCCCACTCCCTAAGTGCGCTATTTGAACCGGCTGTTGAATGATATGCAAGGCGACTCTGCGGCTGCAGCCGCAATTTCTGACTACAGATATAATACAGGGCGTCTAAAAAAACTACGCTATGGAAATTCAACAGTCTATCGTGCATCATAAACTTAGCTAAACAATTCAATTTTTACACAGGACGAAAGAGCTGTTATTTAGCTTTTTATGATACCTTTTGTAAACCGTAACGATAAGAAATGGCCGGTCAAAATCACATTCTTCCACCGTTGTGAATTGAAAATACATTAATTACTAGTATACCTATCAGTAGTAAATGCTGACTTGCTCATTAATTTGACGACATGTCAAACTAACGGCCTCCTCTTTTCATATTAACAACCTCAGTCAAAGGTTAAATACAATCGTAACCTCCTAACTCGTACCCTGATAGCAGAGCCTGATTTCCCCTCGCGTAGAAATAAGGCTCTGCCGTTTTTGTTTCGTTCCCCGCAGGAACGAAACGGTACTGTGTTTGGTTTCGAGCAATGTCACAGGAAAGTGACGTCAGATATCAAAGTTATCCAATCTTTTGCCAGTATTCTTGCTGAAACGTCAATTACATTTAGAATCGTCCAATGAGGTAACTGTTCCTAGCATAAGAAGTTTTTTGGAGGCGTGGCGTATAATTGGGAATCTTAGTTAATTATATGTCAACTTGACAACTTGTCAAGCGAAGTAGTCTATCCGCTTTGTGTGACGACGTGGTGTCTTAGATTTTAGCCAGAATAAAAGGCTCTTGCTTGGCCTTTAATTCATCTAAGCCTGGCCCTTGAATTTAGTCTTTTTGGGACCGCGGGAACAGTTTGACCAAGCTAAGAATAAATACGACGCCAGATATTGGAAATGGCATATTGGTATTTAAAAATAGTAGCGTAAATGTGACTCTGATGTAATCTTTCTACTGTCAATCATTTTTAAATCAACCTATCAAAGACAAGAATGACGAATTGCAATGTTAACTCTAGCCTGCGCGGCAGGCGGTATTTCTACAGGCAGCGAAAATTAGGGAGGCAAAGGAAATACCGTCTGCCGCAAAACTAGGGGTTTTTGAATTACCCGTCCGCTGGTGAACGGGAAAAACGGATTGGTTAGTATTTTTATGTAGTTGTCTACCCTGGGTTCCAGAGCCTTCAGAAAGTTTCCCAGCTAGGGTTTCAAATCTCAAGACCTTTAATTAAAAACCTGAAAACCTCTGGCACCCAGGGTAGTAGTTGTCAATCAACGGCTAAATTCGGTTAAATGTTAATCATTAACCAAATGTTTTGACGTTTTGAAATTAGTTCACGTCAAGTCAGACCAGAAATGGAATAACATAATAAAAGAAGCAAATTAAAAGATACAAGCTGAAAAATAACTCTCTAAATAATGTTATTGATAGAGATTCGAACAAGAATATTTAACAAAGAAGATACGTCCGAAGGGGCCGAAGTTATGATCGGCGAAAGGTATGCATGGCTAGTCTATATTTTCGTTCAGACAATTTAATACATGCGTAATATTATAAATTAGATAATATACGATCTCGCTTGACTTTCAAAGGCCATAAATCGCAATAATGTTGACATTTTACTAAAACTATCGATAGAAATTAGGAGATATTTCTTCACTGAATCGAACAGTGGGATTTTCATATAGGCATATCATGTTCTGGACCAAAGATACTTGATAGATATTATATACGAACCTCCAAAGTATAAACAAGGGGCCGGTTGATGCAGTAATTATCAACTAACAGTTAAACTCTTATATACCCGTTGAATATGTATAGTTGTAAACAAATAAAAACTATCGTTCTATAAGGTTCAAAACTTTCAGTTTGGTTGTTGACTGATGATGAATCTATAGTATAGACTTGCATGCTTTGTATTTTGAGCTTATTAAACTACCGTTTTAAGGCAGCTAAACGGGCTTGGTTTATATTAACACATAAAATAAATTCCTTGATTCTCATCACTAGACACAATCTACACTTTGAAATGTCGAAGACAGTGGGAGATTTATTTTTTATATTTTATATTTATATAATTTATATATCAATAGTTCGTATCTCCACGAACAATGACAGAATGACGGAGTTTCTTTAAAATACAATGAAATTTCATTCAAAATTCTGTTTGTTTCAAATTGGAAGTTTAAAATGGCAATAAAAACTCTATATAAAATATAAAAAATTAACTGTCTTGAATTATTTTGTCGGGCGGTACATTTATATTGTATAACGAAATATAAAACGTTTTCACGAGGATTAAAAAATTCAGTCGGGCGGTGATGAGAATCAAGGAATTTATTTTATGTTGGGTAGTTGGGAACAACTTGGGAGTGGCTAATTTTGAATATTTACTTAATAATGACATCTATAAATAGCGTTGATGCTTCAGGGGCGGTAGTTCATTTACACCCGGTTTTGTAGCCTGCATGGCAGGCGGTATTTCTACGGGCAGCGAAAATTAGGGAAGCAAAGGAAATACCGTCTGCCGCAAAACTAGGGGTTTTTGAATTACCCGTCCGCTGGTGAACGGGAAAAACGGATTGGTTAGTATTTTTATGTAGTTGTCAATCAACGGCTAAATTCGGTTAAATGTTAATCATTAACCAAATGTTTTGACGTTTCGAAACTCTGCGTTTTGAAATTAGTTCACGTCAAGTGACTCAAGTCAGATCAGAAATGGAATAACATAATAAAAGAAGCAAATTAAAAGATACAAGCTGAAAAATAACACTCTAAATAGTGTTATTGATAGAGATTCGAACAAGAATATTTAACAAAGAAGATACGTCCGAAGGGGCCGAAGTTATGATCGGCGAAAGGTATGGGCTAGTCTATATTTTCGTTCAGACAATTACATGCGTATTCGAGGGGCAATTCACTCCAAAAATCCCGTACACTTCGTCAAAAAATCCGGAAAAAATCCAGAAAAAATCCATGAAATCCTCAAAATCCGTTGAATCCATCAAAATCCCAAAAATCCTTCAAAAATCCACAGAAATCCTTCAAAAATCCACAGAAATCCTTCAAAATCCTTAAAAAATCCGCAAATCCACAAAAAATATATGAAGTACTTAGTGTAATTTACTCGTAAAGGTTCTTTGCCACGTTCAAAATGGCGGACAGCGAAAGCTAAACGCTTACCGTGATCGCTGTCATTATATTTCGTAATTATTGTACCACTCTACATTTCCATTTATACGCTCGAGTATATGCTAAGTTTTTTTAGCCTATTACTACTAAATATGTGTTCTTGTTACAATGACGTTATGTTGTAAAATATAATTACAAAACCAAAAGTTATTCACCATTGTCTTTTACTGTTTTTGAAAGAATAATGAACTTGTTTGAATTTTAAACAAAATGACTGCATGCCCAGCCTTCGTTAGTTTCAGAAGGCTGTGGTCATAGTCCCAGTCCTCTGCTCGACCCTGACGTCCTGGCATAACGTTGACATCGTACAACTTAAGATTATTTGTTCAAAACGTTACCTAGCTCTATA